CTCCAGCCAGGGTCAACCCACCACAATCCCAAATGTTACTGCAGTCATAAGCAATAAAATAGAAGAATTATAAAAACTCCAAACACTTGAAACTGTACATGCTTTGAATTGTAGTAATGCATTTCAGTGATAGAACAAGGCAATGACGAATCAGCTAAGTCAAAAAACATGACCTCATTTTCTGCATTCCAGCTGACTACTGTGTGAACTCTAAGTTTCCATTACAAATTATCCAGCCCTTCTTTGAGTTGAATGGATAGACAAGCTGACTTAAGGCTTATAAGCAGGGGTTTTGATTTGGATTCTGAAAATTGAAGAGTTAATCAGCTTTAAAGAAGCGAAACTGAAACCTAGTTTTGTCTCACTTTTCTAGTTTGTTGTAATCAAAATCTATGTTTTTTGTTCCTTGAGAAATGACTTCTGTAAAGTAAAACAAAATTTACCAGATTGAAACACAGAGTGTCTACCTGTCATGGCAGGTTCTCTACAAGCTTATCTGTAATTAGACAGATGAATGCATACATGCTTTATACAGGAGATGGAAAAATGCAATGTAACATTCTAGTCCTGTTTTTTACTTATAAGCATTCATATAACTAGAAGGCAGTGCAAAGCCCAAGAAAGTCTTTTGGAGATTTAAAGCTGAACAGATTTTGCTGGTAACACAGCTTATGAAACACAGTATCGCAGCTGACAGACATCTCAACAAAACTCACGTCCTATATTTTACGATGAGCACAATTGCAGAGGCCATGTGACAGTTCTTAGTGCTAATCCTCCCTTCGTACAAGCGCGTGATTTAATTTGTTTTTCCATGTAGAGGAAATGTTCTTCCTTTAACAATATTACAGCTATTGATTATCTAGACACTGAGCTTCTCAAGAAATGTTTAAATACCAAAGAAAAGAAGATAAAGCAAACTCCTTTTGAAAAATTAAAATCTCTGCTTTACTTCAGTACATAAATATTTTAAGTTCAGTCACTGAAACCAGAGAATTGTCTTTTGGCATTAAACTATTGGCACAGCCTTTGCTAGGAAACTTTTTTAAAATCATCACTAGGCATGGTGTCTTTGAGAGCTGACTTCAAGACCTTAGCTCAGAGCTTTTTTCCACAACCACGTTACCATTCATAAACCAAAATTCTGTGTCTCATTTCTCCCCTTGTTCCCAGCTTCCCAATGAAAAATAAATCCTAACTTCATTTATATAGGGGCTAAGGAGAAACAAAGCCCAAGCTTTGTTTCCAAATCTAATCCTAAAGGATTTGGAGACCGTTTGTTTTGTAGGTGCAAATTCTCCATATAAAAGCCTGTGTGCCATGTCCAAGAACCCTCTCCCAACATAAAGAGTAAGCTGTATGTTTTGCAGGCTTCCATAAATATGAACAGTGTCCATACAATAGCTTTCCTTGTTAAAGGCAAGCAGTTTTCAGAGCAGTAGAACTGATGCCCTACAGACTTCTTGATACATACTCACACATTCTCCTCACCACAGGAACATGAGGTCTTTATCCATAGCCTCCACGCCATCACTCAGCTGTGATAATCCATAGGTCATGTTTCACGACCTAAATACTTCCAGTCCCCCCCCACCACCACAACCTCAGCTCTCATTCATGTTCTCTCACTACCCAGTGAGTGAGAAGCAGCACTAAGCCGTGGCTTAACGGGTTTCCCACACAACACAACTGATGAGCTTCTCCGACACCTTTTCCCTTAGATGGGGTAGTCATTTGTGTGTGTCCGTCCTCCAAGGGAGGGACAGTCTAACCAAACTAAGGCTATTAAATGAAACTTGCCAGAGCTTAAAAGCATTGAGACCTCACTCTCTCCACCAAATTGGGATAGTTGATCATTGGCTTCAATAAGCTCAGTGGAAGACAGATGGATAGATACAGCCATCCTATAAACTTCAGTTCCTCGGGAAACCAGGCTAAAAATAGCTGATCTCAAAAATTCAAGGAACAAACTGAACTAAAATTAACATACATACCAACTGGAATGTTAAAATGTGTTGGCTCTTAAATGTTTTCTTACAAAAAACAGTGTCTCAAAGGGTCAAAAGTAAAACAATATTTATATATAGCAACAGAAGAGCATTAATTGACTTAGAAGGTTGACAGCCAGAACAGGTTATGGTCTAGGGTGACATCAGTGCAGATCAGTGTAGGATACAATAAATGACATGATTGAGCAGGGATGTTTAGCATGTCTCCTACTCATTCCACAGTTCATTAGCTTGTCAGAGTGGGTACAGAAAACATACAGATTTCAATTCCCTTTAAACGAAAGTGGGTACTTGCTGGGTTTTATCACTTGCTTCCTAGGTTTCCAAAACGTTTTGAAATTTCTTTCAGTCCAAAATGTTAGAACCTATTAGCTTCAACCATAACAACAAATTTTGTCCCAGATCTCTCAGAGTTATGCAGGAGGCTGAATTTATAATAAAACAAACAAAATGTTTCACAGGCAAAGATAATCTCTGAGTTAGTATTTGCCAAACTTGGGGCTTCATTTTCCTATTGATAGTGGATGACTCCAAATAACCCTTGAGATTTGCAGTGTGGGGAATACCAAACATGTCTTACGCAAATTGGTGTTTCTTCATGGTGATATCTTATGGCAAAATTAGTACCTACTGCTTCCCAAATATCCTCATTTCATCTCCTCTACTAGGATAATTTCAGATAAAGTACTTCTAGAATCCACATGCCAGGACTTACTTTCCTCCTCTTATCTCAAAAATCAAATAGAGCAAGCCTATGCACAGTCCTTACAATGCCTTCCTCCAGGCACCTCAGGAATTTTGATGTTATTTCCCATCAAAACAAAATAATAGGCATATTGGTCTAAATCCAATGAAACACTAATAATCCTAACTTTCTACCAAGATCAATAGGAAATTAGGACCTTAAATACTTCTATCTCTGTCATTTACATCCAGCCCTCAGACAGACCAACACAAATTCAAGGTATCAGCAGGTACACTCTTCTATACTGGCTTAAAGTTTGTCAGATCTGGGGTGTTCTGGATTAAAACAAACAGCTCAAGCTTGGTTCTGACTCAGCAAATGTAGTTTTTCCCAAAATCTTTCTTTGCAAAACTTCCAATCTACTTGGATATCTAGACAACCAAGAGTGAGAATTGCACACAAGCAAAAATCCAGTATAACTGCTTAAGACTTCATTGATTCAGAGAACAATAAGGTTATGGGGGACTGAGAAGAACTCTATTTCATATTAAAGTAGGCTCCCCTGAGAATAAATATGCCTTTTCTCATCTTTTTCAGACTCAAGTCAACCAAATGTCAACTTATTATCTAGAATTAATTTTCACAACTGAGATGGTAAAAACACAATCAACCCAACTTCACTGAGCAAGGGGAAAAAAAGTGGTGAAGAAGAAATTTTGTAATTCTGCTATAGTCCCCCATTGAAGTTAAGTCACAACAAAAATTGAGGAGACCTTGCTTTGCAATATCTTCAGCAAAGGAAGCACTGTAGTGCCTTTGTACCTGTTGAAAAGGAACTGCAATAATAACTCAAGTGACTGTGTCCTTGAGAACCATAACACTGAATTCTTCCAAGGAGAACACTTTACAGGGGGAAAAGAGAAAAACACACTGTTCATGAGAAAGAAAAAAAGCTACTTGGAACAGCATTTGGCATAGCTTGAAAGCAGCAAAGAAATTGTGTAACATTGAAGATGACACTGGAGTAAACTGTACATTTTTAGTCTAAATACATTCAACACGTGGGAAAATCTTTATTAAACTATAAGCCACAGAAACATGTGTTTTGATTTAGTTTGTGTTGCAGCACACAAACATAAAAGACCATTGCCTGTATTTTCCCCCAGGACTTTTTTGGGGGAAAGGAGTTCTGTTTATTCCATTTGTGCTACAATCGGAGAATTACAAAATAACTTAGGTTGGATGGAAGCTCTGAAGATCATCTGGTTCAGGCTCTCTCCCACTCCATCAAAGCAAAGCCAACTTTAAAGTTAGGCCCAGTTTCAGTTTGGTTGGGTTCCTGATAGCACTGTTCAATTAAAGCTTTGAATATCTCCTCCAAGGATGGAGACACCACAGCCTCGCTGGGTAACCTGTTCTAGTGTTTGACCACCTTAATGGAGGAAAAAGCTTTTCTCTGTCACAGTGATGTATTGCTGGCTCGTGTTCAACTGCTTGTCCACCAGGACCCCCAGGGCCTTTTCTGCAAAAATGCTGTTCAGTCAATCCGTCCCCAGTTTGTACCGGTGTGCAGGGTTATTCCTCCCAGGGGCAGGACTTTGCCTTTGCTGAACTTCATGAGGTTCCCGTTGGCCTTCAGCTTGTCAAGGTCCATCTAAACAGCAGCACAAGCAAGTCATGCATTAACTACTACTCCAGATTTTGAATCGGCTGGAGACTTGTTAAAGATGCGTCATACCTCATCATCCAGGTCATTAAAAAGGATGTTCAACAGTATTGGTCTCTGACTTGCCTAAATTTGTGACTTGCCTCTAGCTGAACGTTGTGCTGCTGATCTTTGAGCACTTTTGAGCACTAGCAGTTCAGACAGGTTTCAGTCCTTTTAGTCCACCTTACCATCTACCTACCTGTCTCACACTTCACCAGTGTCTATGAGAATGTTATGGGAGATAGTATCAAAAGCTCTGCTAAAGTTGAGATAAACAACATCTACTACTGTCCCCTCATCCACCATGCTGGTCATCTCACTGCAGAAGGCTATCAGGTGGCTCAAGCCTAATTTCTCCTTCATAAACCCATGCTGACTACTCCGAATCACCTTCTTGTCCTTCACCTGTTCAGAATGGTTTCCAGAATTATTTGCTCTGTCATCTTCCCAGGGATCAAGATGCTGACGATCAGCCCATAGTACCCCCGATCTTCCTTCTTACCTTCTCAAAGATAGGAGAGGCATTTGCTTTCTTCCAGTCCTCAGAAGATCCCCTGATCACCACAACCTTTCAAGAGTGGCCTTGCAAAGATACCAGCCAACTCCTTCAGCACCCATGTGTGCACTCCATCAGGTCCCATGGACTTGTGTATGTCCAGCTTGTTTAAATGTTCTCTAACTTGATCCTCCTCCACTGAGGGTAAATATTCCCTGCCCCAGAGTTTTTCACAGGTCTTAGGGGTCTCATGGACTTCCCAAAGGCAAGTCTTACAATAGCGAAGACTGAAATGAAGTCGTCATTAAGTACTTCAGCCTTCCCCATGTCTATTGCAATCAAGTCTCCATTCACATTCAGCAGCAGACCCATATTTTCCCCAGTCTTCTTTTTGCTGCTGATATACCTGGAGAAGCACTCTTTTTGTCCTTCAAGTGCCTTGACACATTCAATTCCAGGTGGGCTTTGTCTTTCTTAACCCCATCCCTGCATACTTGGACCATGTCTCTATATTCCTCCTGGGTCTGCTGCATCTGTCCCTGCTTCCAATTCTTGTCTGCTTCCTTTTTCATGTCTGAGTTTAGTCAGGAGCTCCTTGTTCATCTATGCAGGATTCCTGCCAGCTTTGTTTGATTTCCTGTATATTGGGATGGATTGTTCCCAAGCAGGAGATTCTGTTTTTCCCCAAAAAATCAACCAGGATGTCCTCCTCCAAGCACAAGAATGGTCAATCCCAATGTGTGAGAAATCAAGCAAAGGTCCTATTAATTCAAAGACATTAAAAACAGCTTTTGCTTTCTACTGTACAACTGAATTTTTTTAAATATGTATTCATATTTAGGACATTATCCAGTGATTGCTGAAGGCAAAATCTGCTCTGGCAAAAGGAACCAAGAACTGGAGATTCCCTTCTCTCAGTTACGTAATTTGTTTTTGGGGATGTGAAGTTTTTTGGTGGTGGTGTTTTAAATGCTGCACAGACCTTGACTGTCTTCCTGGAGTGCCTCTTCCCATCCCAACCTCTGCCTGGGGTTGAGAGTAGCTGCCCTAGGAAAACTGAGATGCTAGTAGCGTAAAGCCTGCCCAGCTGAGTCAACAGCAAAGCTAAGAGCTCATGCATGTGGGGGTGTGCTCTCATATGGTTCTCCACCCATAAAAAAAGGAAGAATAAGAATCCTTCACGCCACTTAGGTGACATTAAGGATACAGTAGCTAGTGCTTGTAAGAGAGCCATCATTCCTTTAAACAAAACGTGTGCCCTCCCTTCACAAATTTCAAGACTCTCTGCTCTAGAGCACTATGACATTAGGAGTTTTCAAAAGAAAAAGTTAACAGGCACAGAAAAGCTTTTTTTCCTAGCTCATAACTCAGAACTGGTATCTCAGCACAACCAAAAAAGTAACAGAATAAAATGTGCTCGTTTAAAATTCAGTGAAGCCTCCGTATTTATGTGGTATTTGTTGAAAACTAGGAAGATGAACAAGAACATGATTAAAATGATGCATAGCACCTCATAACTTAATCGAATTTCTGCGACTTCATGAACTATTTTTGTTGAAAAAATTCAGAGGCAAATCGAGGGTCAGGCAAACACCCTTAAGGAAAAGCACTGTGCATATTTTAAACACCCAGCACAATAACAAGTGAATTAAAATGGTATCATTGTGTGAAAATATCATGAAAACAATAACTTCTGAACAATGAACAAACTTCTAATTTATACCACCATAGATCATCTCTTTGCAGGCACTCCTTGCTATGTAAACGTGTATCTTCTTTGCTCTAGCTTACATCACCCAGCAAGGGACTGAAGAAAACAAAAAACAAAAAACAAAAACAAACAAACAAAAAAACCCCAAAAACAAACAAACAAAAAAAAACCCAAACAAAACCAACCCCATCAGAAGGTAATAGGATTGTGATCTATTTGCCTAACAGGTACCAGTGTAAACTGTTCCTGTGCAACCAGGCTAGTTTTCCTGTGCTAACCACTTCCAAAGTATACACAATTCTGAGCTTGGTAGCAGTAACCTGAACTACTTCTCACCTCCCGCCATGTGGGAGAAGAGTCAGCCCAATAACAAGTCTTCCTTTCACAGGCAAGAAGCAGAAGGATGCCATCGCTTTTGGGACAGGTGGAGAAGGCATCTGAGAAAGGTGGAGAATCTTCATATGAATATTCTGAATGCACTGCAAGTTGAGTTTTTCAATTTATAACTGTCATACATGCATTGCCAGGAAGGTCAGAGAAAGTTTAAAAGCTTGAAGAAGAAAGATTTTTATGCGCATAAAAACTACCAACACAATTCTTATGTCTTTCAAACTGGATGTTTAAACTCTTGGGTTTGGGAAATCTGAATTTTTTTTTTTTTTTTTAATTTTCTTTTTCAACTTGTAAGTTGAAGAAGCAACAACAAATTCCACATTTTCTTAATGATCGTGGTTTCCATTTTTCTTTTCCTGTTTCCTCCTGCATGTGATTTTAATATTTGAGTGGTTTTAATTGAATCTTTAGTCCAAATCCCACAAGCTTCTCTGTGAGTGGCTATGCAGAATTCCACTGGCATCTGCTTGGCCAGATCAGCTGCAGAACATGATCTTTGCTTAAATGATACTCAGATGCTTTTCCCTAGAGGGATGTTCCTCAAGTGATTAACACACTTAACAGATAAATAGTTCTTGAGCTTTTCTTTTTCTTTCTTTCTCATTTGAAGCAGTGTAAGCCAGGTGAACCTCTGGAAAAATATACTGTACAATACAGATACAAATCAGGGCAAATGAAGGAACTAAATCCTTCAAACAGTATGACAAAGGAAAGTGATGAAAGACTACACTGCTGATGTGTCCACAGTAAGGATTTATTACTTTAATCATACAATCCTTATAAACAAAACATAGTTTTGATTGCTCATGATTATTCTAAGTTAATCACTAGAGTTGGAAGTCATAAACATGACCTGAAATTCATCCCAAAGTCAGAAGAAAAGTAAGGTGGCTTCACCAATAAAACATTTTAATCATTAAATGGCTTTTTTGTTGGGTTTTTGTTTGGTTGGTTGGTTTTTGTTGTTGTTTACATGGGACTCTTCTCCTTTGCTAAGCCCATTGCATGGCTTGGGTTAACATAGTTCAGTTCTCATAAAAGTTTTAGAAGCTTCTAACTGGTTACAAGAACACACAAAAAGCAGGGACTGTAAACTTGCAGTTGCCGTTTGCTCAAGATTGAATATGTAAAAGTTTCCTTTCCTAGAGCATTTATTTGGCAGGCTCAGCAAACAAGAAATCCAGTATGCTATTGAGTTACCACCATTACCAATATGGTGTTTAGTACAGACAGCTTTCTGAAAGGTCGGCAAGCCTCTGTAGAAGAACCACATTAACTCTGAGTTCTGCTCGTGGTGAAACCAGAGGCATACAAGCCTTTACATTGTCTTTCTGAATAGTAATTGAATTCCTTCTGCTTCATGGGCTATAAGATACTGAGTATTAGCTGGGATTTTCTGTAGAGGGCTTTAAGTCTGAGGTGAATTTACTGTCTGTTCCTGACAGTCATTCAAATCCCACTACATGTACCAGCTACTGGGTTGAGAAGACAAATCACTCTGAATGTCCACTGCAATACATTTCAATACTGTCACCAAAAATATGTGATGGTAAAAAAGCAGAATCTCACTAAGAAGTATTACTCTCTCCATGCACCTTTGAGAGACAGTGCAGTGGAGGAACACTGGTACCTATGAATATACAGTAACAGTTACAGCACATCCACTTTCATTTAATAACTTCTTTCATTTTGTTTCCCTTTATTTATGAGTTGGTAATCTAAATTTTATATTCTTTTTTGTTGAGAGCTGTGAAACTAAAGAGCCTTATACCATGGCAGAATAATCCATTATCAGAGTCAACCTCCTGGTAGCTTGCTGTCTCATTACATTTTGCCCAGACACTGACTACATTGGCTGGCTGAAGTTCCTATACCTAACATGAGGAAGAAAGAAAACGAAAACAATGAAAATATCTAATTAGAATATTCAAATAGGTTCGTATCAGGTAGGATAAAGATTACAGATGTATTTTGAAATGTTAAAGAGCCCTTTCTGATGACAAGCTGTGAGTACTCCAGTTTGTATTTTTAAAACAAATCTCATGGGAAATGACATTCTGGCCCTCAGGCACTATACTGAGTTCAGCTAATTAATAGGCTAAATTGATTTTTCTTCTTAAAGGACGCTTGATTTGATTGATTTGGAAGGAAAAAAAAGTGACATTGCTGATAGCATTAGCAGGGTGAGATTTTAACTTTGGGAGAGAAACACAACACAGTGGTGTGCTGGAAAGAGCAGAGCTTTTTTTATTGCTATGTTGAATGCTTTTTTACTTAGATGGTGCATCTGCTAAACATTTTTTAGAAGTTAGAAGCTCTTCTAAATCACTGTCGTAGCAGGAAAAA